ATTCAACGAGCAAAATGTGTTATACATTACTGCCTGAATATGGGCGTTTGTGCCCGAGCGATGGGCAAATGATCTCTTTGCGCGAGGCGAACTAAACACCCATATCATTTTCGGGCTGTAATATTTTTATTACATGCCTTTAATAACATAAAGAATGCAGGGTTTAGAACCTTTCATTAAACATTTGTTCTTGAATACTTGTCTGGCGTGAATGTATTACTTGCTGTTTTCTGCACACAAATAGTGGTTGTTGTACCTTTTTCAAAGTTTAAGGCAAGTTTTACAACTAGAATTCCTCTCAAAATTTGGAGCAATAACGAGTGAGTACAAGTAGCAAAACTATTCTCAATGAAGTCTTTGACAGTTAACGTTGGTAAACCAACTCAAAAAATGGATCACTATATACTCTTAGCGAAATAAAATATGTAAAATATACAAGCAACTTTCTTAATCCTTTTAGCATTTTATTGGCCTAAATACAACTAGTATGATCTGAATTCTTCTCACCACAAGAGAAATCACTAGATTTCAGAATAACTTTGTTTTTGCAAAAAATATTATGTTATCACAATAGACATTGTCTTAGTTATATATTAAACACTTGGGTAACATTATTCGTTACTATTTCAATAATATTAGCATAACTAATTATAGTCATAAGAAATTGATAAGATTTACATCATAAAAAAACAGGGAATATAATCATATTCTGATTCTATAATTAACAAACTTAGGGATTCATAAGAACAGACATTTATTCCACCTAACCAGACATTGTGAAATATGCAAATTAGAATAATTATTTATTAGTATCCTGGTAGTATACCCAAGGTGACGTATAAAACGTGTGTGAAATGCGGAACAAGAGTTGTGCTGAAGCGATTTAAATAGATAATAGCATATTAATTATCTCATTGAGCCTGTGTAAGCAAAAACCTCAGCAGATTTTGAAGCTTTTTGGTACATAGGTTAATATAATCAGACGAGATTAGAATTGGGGCCATGTCTGGGCATATTAAGTAGCTAATTTACATATTCAATTATCGTAGATATAGGTGATTGTTCGTCAATCGTCGTCCGTCAGTCAACGACTACGTTTCCATCTTCTTGAAAACTTCCAGCTCAATCGCCTTGATACTTGCTATGTACCATGGGTAGACTTTTGTCAGATTTGTTCATTTTCAGACGATATCTTCAGTTCTCTATTCTCCATGCTAACCATTACCCCACACATCCACCATGGCAAAATGGTTATAAAGTTTGGACAAATATTTTGCTTACCTGAGATGCTTACAACAATGACCTGCACAGGGTTATTTATCAATCTTGTACAAAGGACATTACATAGTAAGTAAAGAGGTTGGAGACACTGAAAAACGATATGAATTGATAACCAATTACATAACACTTATGCTTATCACACACACTTTGTAATTTTTTCAATCTTAGTGTATCATAGATTTTATGGCAGTTTTGTTTACTATCCCTGCAAAGTCCCAAATTAATGTGTCCAAATTAATGGTCTTTTCTAAAATTACTTAATGATATAAATGGTAAAATCTATAAAATCTTAATACAAAATAATGCATTCGTTTCAATAATATTGACAACCATAGTTGGACTGTGAAATGTGTCATTTATACAATTCTTTTTTACTTGTTCACTAATTTATGCTGATGATCTTGTGTTAATCTCTAAAGCAAATATGTGATGTAGATCAATTGATATGTGATGCAGATCAGTTGATATATGATGTTGTATACCAGGATGTGTTTTTTTCATGACATGACCACATCTTCCGTTAAACCTTCAAGGTACTAATTTTTTGTTTTGGTTCTCTTTGTCAGCCATTTGTTTTGAGCCCATAAACTTACACTTTTTATTAAATAATTTACTATTATGATATAAATATGGACTGTGTTTAGTGTTATTATTTAACAGATAACAACTTTCTTCAAAACCCAGAAACTACAGTAACAGTACTACGTTTATTACTTAATTTAAAACAGCTATGAATAAAATACCATGAATGGATATATACACTGACTGCA